AGTATTGGATTCATTAGACGCCAAGGGACGATAGCACATCGCCCCCAGCCACGAGTGGCAGTCAGTCACCCAAAACGCCGACCACTTGCGCAGACCGAAAAAGTGCGCAGTGGTCAATAGGCACCCACCTAGGATGATTACTGATATTTGTATACGTTCAAATGTTCTTTGTTTTGCAAAGTTAAAGGCCTGACGAAGAACTGCCGAAAACATGTTTTGCCTAATACACAGACTTCTAAAGTTAAGCATGGGAATATTTACCGAACTTCAACTCAGATGTGTACTACCGTGTGCTAAGTACAGTGGATACCATAAGCAGAAAAACATGAGGTTATTAAATCTACAAACCCGATTCGTGCACTTTTTGGCCTAATTTAACATAATTCTGGGGGTCGAATTCTCTAAGCAGTGGTGCTTAAGGAAAACACTTAGTTTCTCTCATGCATATGTTAGTAATAGCACACTTGGAAGTTGAAAACTCACCCCACGTCACCATGAAGACAGCAAAGAAGACGGTTCCTGCATGATCAAAGAGGTAGGACACCTGTCGGGGAAAGCAGAGATTGTGAAGGAACCAGTAGTCACAGCCGAGAGCCTCATCACAGAAGGGACACATACGAATCGGATTGCGTTTGTCGCAGACTTCGCGCCTAGTTACAAACATGAGGCATGATAAGTCAAATCGTTCGCACTTCATCTAGGTCAGCTATGGTGCAAACCAAAAATGTGATAACGGCCCTGAAGTAGCAACCTACAATTATTTAATTTAAAATGCACACTATGCGCAGCCGAATCGACTTAACTTTCTGCCTTTCAATATTACATCAGTATTACAACTCAATGTATATGATTCACCTAAAACATATTTGAGGCTTTGAACAATAACCTGTTAACGGTCAATCGGAACTCCCAACACATTTGCTGACGGATAACTAAGCTATTTATAAACATACTACTCCCTTGATTTCAATAAGTCGTTTTGTTTACGTTCACTTGGTTAATACAAACGAATATACCAGTTAACTTTTACTATGACGAAAATGTTATAGTGCACTGAACGTCTTGTACACTGTTTTCTCGAAAACGCCATATCTTTTTAGCATTTACGTTTAATTATTAATTTTAGGCATTCCGCATAATAAAACGTGTAAATTGACTTCATGTCCTGCACACCTGTATCATTTAAATGTAGTTTGTAAGGGCTTCTTTCATTTACTTCAAATAAACTGACTGATACTGACTAAGTTGCAAGTGGCTTTTTCGATCTGAGGCCAGTAGCTGGGGTGGAGGAGACACCGGGTTGATAACATGTCGAGAGGAAATGGGGGTCGGCGGCAGGCATGAGGACGGAACACCAAACATACCCCGGGACGAATGTGCGGACAGTGAAGAGGCCGTAGAGAAAACAGGCAAGACCCACGATACCAGCAGGCAGCAGCCACTGTGTGTAACAACCTGAGACAAAGAAAAAAGGGCATAAATGACGTAGGAGACGAATGAGTGATGGGACAGGACACAGGATTCAAATGCCCATGACATATCGCCCCCCCCCTCCCCAAAACCTCTAAGCGGTGGAAGCTACTGGCCTACCTGACTTAGGTTAGTTTCCCAATAGCAGAACGTCCCTTCTTCAGTCAGTGATTTCCAGCTTTCATCTAACGGACATACAGGAGTTAAGCCCAGATCGCCCTGGTCTACCAGCTCTGTCCGATGCGACGTGGCATGCTAAGTTAATGGTAACAATCTATTAAAGGGGTCACCACGAAAACAAAAAACCCGAATTCTGTAACATGGGACCGGTTGTAATAGGGGATTAACGGGTGGGGCAGGAGAGAAAATATCAAAGAAAAAGAGGAAATAGTAGATAAAATTGTTAAAAAAAGCTAATATAAAGCAACAAGAAAGCGCGCGATAATTGGAGGATAAACAAAAGCTATCTGTGATACTCTGGACTCGAATTGAACGCGAAACGCGTCCAACTTTGGTCACCTTTGTCGAACCCCAATCGGATCCGAAAATGTGAATCGCATTTTCAACCGAACGGCGAGTATCTGCCTTCCTGAAAAAGTTCTCCTCTGCAAACGGTAGTAGTATAGTAAATTTGAAGGACTTTTGATACTATGTATAATATACTATGAATATAAAATGCTATAAAAATCTCACCATACAATTATAGAAAAATGGGTTTTAATTTCTGTACATTTCTGTCTTTCTGTCATAGTTAACAAGGCCATGGTCATCCCTATAACAGGCTGTTACCAAAGCAACTAAGAATGGCGTTCACAGGGTGGACTACGAATGCTAATAAGCAAACAATGTTGAGACCTGTTCATACGAACTTGTTTTAAAGGCTATTTGAAGTGCAAAGTCAAAAAAGGACTTGTTTGCACCCTCTTCACATGAAAAAGCAACGTTTGTTTCCAGTGAATGCAAGAGAGAGAGAGAGAGAATGCGAAAGAAAACACGAGACCTGCACCTACCGAGCCAAGCAAAGTACAGGGCAATGCTTTCGCCATAGTACTCTCGAATGTGGTCCAGGGGCTGAAACTTGGTCCAACAGCCCCACCGAGCCCAGTAGTGGTACAGCACCTGGCGCCTGGACAGACCAGGTGGGTTTTCCCGTTCCGCCTTTGTTGACTCGTAGGGCCCCTAGATAGGAAAGAAGACCCCCGTCCCCAGTGAGTGTAGCAAGATAGATTGGGAAACTAATGAACTTCTTAAAGGATTAGGTGACTAGCCACCAGTAAGTTGCAACATGCAATTATTGGTCTGCGCAACGAATGAGTTTCGATGGCAGCTCAGTCTGTAACGAAGTGCAGTGTATAAGGGGTGGGCATATCCATGCATACTTTTTCCCAGCAGATATCCGTAGAGAGGCCCTTTAAGGGTTCGTTTTGATAATAAACACTTACTTGCAAATTTTCAGTAGGTCTAATTCCTGCCGATCCGACCATTTCCTTCATTAAGTTCACCAATAGTAGGTGTATTCTAATATTCCTATAAGTTAATGAGCATCGTTTACTTAACCAATAGGAGTTTACGTTGGTCGATTTTATTCTCCCCTGATACTTTTCACGTATATGTTTAGTTCACTAAAATAATAACAAACGGCTTTAATTTATTGTCTACTGTTGACTATCCACGTATTAAAAAACTTTGACCAACTCCTTAATCAGGCATTAAACCTTGAACCACGATTTCCGTACGAGACTTGAGCAGGGGGCTTGTATAATTTGGCGGCCCCATGACTAATCGTTACCGTTTTTCCTCCAACTAACGTGTTTCTCCCACCGGGTTAAACGAGACAGAGAAAGATAAGTAATCGAAGACGGATTCTGGGAAGAATTTATTTATTCTGCCGACCTGCGTAACTTGACGTCGGACCGCACTGATTTGACTCCTAAGGGTTTAAGAACACTCCAAGCTTTGGCATGATGGTCGTGCACTCTTTCGTGATAGCCCCTCCGCCAAAATCGCGAATTTTTGGTCGGCCGCTGATTGGAGCGAACATGCGGTCAAATACATCACGATAACTCGAAGTCGTAGCGTCCACTGACTGGCTACTTTATGAAACACGCACATATCGCAGTCATATAAGGGTGGCTGTACCGTGAAAAGTGGTGGTTATCTATCGCTCTAGATCGTGGCTCCATTCGAATACCTTCCTTTATACAACGGAAGAGTTGAATATTATGTGGGTAAGATACGAAAACCGGCATTTTGCCAACCCTTGCTACAGGCGGTAATGCGAATCCTGGGCTCTATCGCTCTAGATTGTGGCTCCATTTGAATTCCTTCCTTTATACAACGGAAGAGTTGAATATTATGTGGGTAAGATACGAAAACCGGCATTTTGCCAACCCTTGCTACAGGCGGTAATGCGAATCCTGGGCAGTAAGGCTGAAGAAGGAGGAGTGTCCACAGGGAGACACGTGTCTGGCTAAATACTCCCGAGACCGAGCTCTAACGTTAATACTAATCCAAATTCAAGCCTTGATCCTAAACGCAGCCATGATTGTAACCGATAATTCCGTAACGCTTACATCAAACCAACATAAAGATCGCAGCTGGGTTTTGCAAGATGCAAACAAAACACAGACCTCAACGGTAAATAACCTTATAGAATAAAAGGAGTCGTCCAAATTCAAAGCCTGAGTCCAGACCACAAAGGTATGTTGGCGAGATTTCGGTCGCACATGGCACAGGAATGGTTTTGTGCCAAAGGGGTGACCCGTAGTTTAAGGGTCAAGCCGAAGCATTCACCAAACAATGAAGTACAGTTCAGGCGGGTAAGGTAAACGAAAGAAGGTGGCATACAAAATGCACGTAGGTCGGACAGAAGTCCCCAAAGGGAAGACAGGGAGAATTCCCAAACTTGAAAAGATTTAATCGCTGGGACAACAGCTTTATTCGCCTGACGTTTCGACATCCGTCGTGGATTCCTCATCAGAGACAGTGGCAGAAGCAGACCCACTCTTAAACTTGTTCGATTATAATCTTAATCCTAACCTCATCACTAGCATTTAATTCTCCTGGAGCTTAACGCAAGACCCCTGTCACGAGGGGGAGGATGGGTCCTATTCCTGTGTCCTGTGATTTTGCCTCTGATGGCCAGCATCGCCTGAGAGCTCATTGGAGCGTGATTATCGCCTGGTTGGCCGTAAAAGCTGTTGGTTTCTTGTGCTGCGATTTGAAGAGAAAATTGCGCATGATCGTACTTCGGTCTCACTGTATCTAACTCTATCCGTCGGCATAAGTATACCTTGAAATACAAACCAGCCACCAACCTCCCCATTCTGTTTCTCACACTTACATTATGCTTATCATAATCATAACGACTTGTCGCACAAGCCCTTTATTATCGGCGAAACAGGGCTATGTTTTATCCCTTCTCGTCACATTTGTTTCTGAATGTTTATTCTTAAGATCCCAAATGTAGCTAAAACCATTTCGCGCATGAGTTAAACTTCAGGCACTTTCGATTACCACAGTTCGTCGACATCTTCAACGCATCATCCTGAGGACTGCATGTACCCAGACGATACCACTTACAAAGAAAAAAGCACTAGACCAGCAACCGTATGACAGTCATCCTCCCATGATACATCAAACAATTAGAATGCGGCAAGGGTTTCCTTGGTAACGACGAATGTTCTTATTTATATTTACATGTCTACTCAATGAATTTCTGTTAGGGTTAGGGTAAGGGTTAGGTTTAGGGTAAGGATTGGGGTTAGGGTGGGATAGTGATATCGTATGTAAAAAGCCACAAGTTTCTCTCTTACGGGAAGCGTGGGAGTAGGCATGTAGATATAAATAAGAAAATTCGTCGCTACCAAGGAAGCCCCTACCTAGAATGCATTTGGAGACTCATAAAATTACCAACTTATTCGCTCATTTCGTGCGCAATTAGGGGTTAGTTGATAGGCCTGTGCGTGGTTGAGAGTGTCGGCTACTTACGACGAGGTAAGGCCCGCGATTAGGCAGAGAAATTGGACTTGTTCAAGGCCAGCTGCCTCAAGGTCATAAAATATCTCACAGTCAGCGCTTTCAGACGCGCTGACCTGCAGAGACTTGACCGACTGAGAAGTAGAAGACAACTAGATCGCTGGGACACTATATTTCTTTGCCTGACGTTTCGAAATCCGTCTCGGATTCATCTTCAGGGACCGACTTCCACTCAGACACACACACACACACGTGCGTCCAGGTTGTCGCGGCTGCCCAAGCGCCACTTGAACATGCCCCTGTCCCCCACCCTCGTACGGCAGAGCTCACGCCACCAGACACGACACTCTTCGGGTAATGTCACATACACACACCAATTGGAGAACACTTGAGCCTGCTCAGCAATCCTACTTAATCAACTGCCACCACTTCCCGGTCATGTTCCAACCTCCTCGCGGTACCGGGTCCACTGGACGTCGACTT